TCCCTTCCCCCCGGATCTCTTCTTCTTTTTTTTTTTTTTTTTGGAGAGGCTTTTTTGCTATAGGGCGCGTGCGCTCGCCAGACAGCCAGAGAGAGACAGAGAGACAGAAAGCGAGAAATCACCCCCCAGGGGGGATGGTCATGCTGCAATCCCTTCTCCTCCATTCTCCTCTTGGGATCTTGGGCACGCACGCACACACGCACCCGGCATGAGTTTTGCCGCGGTCAACTACGTGGGAGTCCAGTGACATAGCCATTACGCTAACTGCTGGTTCCCGCATCTCTACTTCTTCCTCTGTCATCTTCTCCCCCAACGTGACAAGGACATGCCGGATTTCAGCACCCATGACAGTGCCATTCCCTTCATTGTCAAACACCCGAAGGCCTTCAACATAATCCTCGTAGGTGCCCTGGTCCTTATTCTTGGCCACTGTCTGCAGCATGGGCAGGAAGTGCTCGAAGTCCAGCACCTTCACATTCATCTCGTCACTCTTGGGGGTTCCCTGGGACCTTGAGCACCTCAGTGTTGGTGGGGTTCTGGCCCAGGGCCCTCATCACATCCCCACACTGGCTGTATAGGATCTTGCCATCCCCCGTCCAGTCAAACAGCTGGAAGCCCTCCTTGAACTCTGCGGTCTGGTCTTCGGTGAAGTCACACATCTTGACTGCTCAGCTCTGCGGGACCTTTCCTGCAGTAATCAAGAGTCTTTTAATTGAGCAATTAGGTGGCTCAGGAAAGGCAGTCCCAGGGCTCAGGGTCTCCTTGCTGTCTTGCTGTGCAAATGTGAAGTTGGAAGGTTCACACAAGAACCTTCTGGTTGGCCCAGGAGGGGCCAGACTTTAGAGCAGCAGGGGACAAGGAGATCCCACTGGCCCTGGATGGGAGCTCCGTGAGGGCTTCAGGCTCATCTGCAAAGGCAAAGATGAGGCCGTGTTCAGAGCAGTAGGAGAGGGAACTGAGCACCTCTGAAGGGCAAAGCCTGTGGGCACCCATGCTCACATGTTGGCTCAAATCTAGAACCTGCTTCTAGAAGGGACTGAGGATTCTGTCCTCTGGGACAGGGTCTGTTCAGCCCCCGGCTGCCACAGGCGGTGTCACCTGTGCACCGGTCTGTATGGCCCCATGTACCGTACTCCAGTGGGGCCGTGTGTGCAAATGTAGGAGCGTGGACGTGCTCTCCCACCTGGACCAAAAGCACCCAAATAAAGCTGTTGGGAGTCTCCTGTCTGTATTCCCCGTAAGGCCTACCGTCTGAGCTTCTGCTCCAGCACACTGTGCTGGGGAGAAACTGATGGAGCAGGAGGCCCACAGCTCTCACCCCAGCCAGCAGTCTCACTGCGGCTGAGGCAGCTAGGCCTCTGGAAGGGATCGCTCAAAGATCTCTGCCCATGGAAACGTTACTTTCAAAGAAACCCCTTGGCCCCTCAATCAGAACCCATGTCCTCCTATTTTAAATAGAACTCTACCAAGGTTAGTTACTGAGTTTCCAAGAAATGAAAAGTGGCGTCTTTCTGGAGGCAGGCTGCTAGCAGTATTAAAAAGAGAGTGGCATCCCGAGAAAAGGCAGGATGTGGGCACAAGAAGAAGCACCCACAGAAGCACACAGTCTGGGGCCACTCACCTCAGGGGCCAAGCTGTGCATGCCTCCACTGTCCTAGAGGGCATCGCTATGGCTGTACTCCCGAGTCAGCAGGCAATGATGTGCACCGGTCTGTATGGCCCCATGTACCGTACTCCAGTGGGGCCGTGTGTGCAAATGTAGGAGCGTGGACGTGCTCTCCCACCTGGACCAAAAGCACCCAAATAAAGCTGTTGGGAGTCTCCTGTCTGTATTCCCCGTAAGGCCTACCGTCTGAGCTTCTGCTCCAGCACACTGTGCTGGGGAGAAACTGATGGAGCAGGAGGCCCACAGCTCTCACCCCAGCCAGCAGTCTCACTGCGGCTGAGGCAGCTAGGCCTCTGGAAGGGATCGCTCAAAGATCTCTGCCCATGGAAACGTTACTTTCAAAGAAACCCCTTGGCCCCTCAATCAGAACCCATGTCCTCCTATTTTAAATAGAACTCTACCAAGGTTAGTTACTGAGTTTCCAAGAAATGAAAAGTGGCGTCTTTCTGGAGGCAGGCTGCTAGCAGTATTAAAAAGAGAGTGGCATCCCGAGAAAAGGCAGGATGTGGGCACAAGAAGAAGCACCCACAGAAGCACACAGTCTGGGGCCACTCACCTCAGGGGCCAAGCTGTGCATGCCTCCACTGTCCTAGAGGGCATCGCTATGGCTGTACTCCCGAGGCAGCAGGAAATGATGGGGAAGTGCTTCAAGGTCTTAGAAGAAATCAAACTGCAAAGGATTAACATTCTAAGAGTTCATTGCTTAAAGGAGAGAACTTTAATATCTGGAAAATTCCTCTGTGGATTCCCTGAATACCAGATGAACAGAGGACTGAGAGGAGGCCCTCGACTGCCCTCATGTCATCCCTCCCCTGCCTCCTTGTTCAAGGCTGTGCTGCTGTGCTCTGTCACCCACCCATGCTGTGGGACCTCGCCTGGAGTAGGGGCCAGGATGAGGGGAGGAGGGGTGGGAGTGCTGGCAGCCTTCCTGACCCCCTCTGTGGGTGCTTTCCTCAGGTCTGCCTCTTTGTTGGGCTGTATTATAACGTGATCATTGGGTGGAGCATCTTTTACTTCTTCAAGTCCTTCCAGTACCCACTGCCCTGGAGCGAATGCCCTGTCATCAGAAATGGAACTGTAGCAGGCAAGTATGGGACCTCTGAGGGGCCCCTGCTGGGGACTCTGGCCAACCCTGTCCCAGGAAGGAGTCTAATGGGTTAGCTTACAGATTTGGAATTGCATTGACTTGTGTCACCTTGGCTAAGTCACTTATATCTCTGACCCTCATTTCCATTTCTCTAGTGCAGAAGACCTTTTTCCAGCCTACCCCATAGGATTGTTATGGGAATTAATGAAAATAATGTGTATAGGTAAAACTCTGGAAGTTGTTACTTGTGTAGTTCATAAGAACCACTCTGTCATTCTAGCACCAGGCTTTCTGGGAATAATCTTAAGTTGCATGCCAGCCCAATAGAGGGTTGGTAAAGCGATGACCATCTCACTTCACAGACGGAACAACTGAGGCCCAGGTGTGACTTTCTCATGTTCACACCAGCCATTGCACCAACGATCTGGGATGAGAATGCATGTCTCCAGCTTCCAGCTCAGACGGTCCCCCAGGCACTTTAGGCCCATTAGCCTAACCCTTCCTGCGGGAATTCAGCCAGCTAGTGTGTCCTGAAGCCTCCCGGGCCCCACTGGGAGGCCAGGATTTCTCTGAATATGCCAGGTCAAGGCTGAACCTGAGTGCAGTCCCTCCTCGCTGCCCCCCTCAGTCACTCCCTCACCCATGCTGCCCTGGGCGGGGGTCCAGCAGAGAAGGTGGCCCTGCTGGCCCTGCCGCTGAAGCCCTGTGGCCTTTGCTATTTCAGTGGTGGAGGCAGAGTGTGAAAAGAGCTCAGCCACGACCTACTTCTGGTACCGAGAGGCCCTGGATATCTCCAACTCCATCTCGGAGAGTGGGGGCCTCAACTGGAAGATGACCCTATGCCTTCTCGTGGCCTGGAGCATCGTGGGTATGGCTGTTGTCAAAGGCATTCAGTCTTCGGGGAAGGTGAGTTGTAGGGGGCACCCAAGACTCAAATGGGGGCCGCAGAAGGGCACAGAGGGCAGAGGGCTCAGATCCTAGGTCACCCCATGCAGGTCCTTTGGGTGGGCTTAGGCTCTGATGGCGCAGGATGATGACACAGCCCTAGAGGAGGGAGTGGGGCGTGACTGCTGCAGGATTGTTCACAGTGGACAGCCCTCCGGACTGAACTTGCTGGCAAGTCATTGCCCCTACCCCTAGCCACTGCTGTGCTCAGATAACTCAGGCCTGCTCTGCAAACACTAAAGAGAAAGAAAGCTGCAAGTATCGGCCCAGGTCCATCTGTGTCGGTTCTGGGTCCTTGGGGTCCTAACCAAAAGTTCTAGAAGAGCCTGCACTGAGCAAATTCAGGTGAAAACTAGCAGCTCACCCTATCTACAGCAAATGGGCTCCTTGAGCAGGTGGGTGCTGTGGGGGTCCGGGAGGCCTTTGAGGGCAGCTCTGTAGCGGTCTCTGAGGCTGCAGACCAGCTGAGCCCCATGCACCTTCCCAGCAGTTCAGACCCCTTTTGAATAGAGCTCTTTCTTATTTGTCACATGTCTGTATTCATGGGCTGCCAGCAATGAAAGGAGGTTAGAGATCCTGTAGCCCAAGCCGTCATTTTATAGACGAAGAAACTGAGGCCCAGAGAGAGAAAGCACTGCACCCAGCATCACTCAGCAGTCAGTTTCAGAGCTGGAAGTAGACCGCTGGCCGTTGGGGGCTCCAGGTTCTTTATCGGGCTTCATGAACAAGGCCTCCTTCCTTTTCAGAGGTCGGATAGTACTGACACTTCAAGGCACTTACTAGGTACTTCCATGTGTTCAAACATGCTCGATCTGGAGTGACTTACGAGTTAGGAATTGTACCTTAGGTATAGCTGAGGAAATGGAAGCTCATCAAGGTTAAGCAAATAGCCCAAGATCACACAGCTGGGAAATGATAGAGCCAGGATCAGAACTCAGACAGCCTAGCTTCAGACAGGCACCCTCTTAACCTCTACCCTGTCCTGTCCAAATAGCCCCCTTGACCTATTTCCATGCATCAAACGTTTGGGAACCTTTCCTTTGCATGAGGCCCTGTAGCAGGCACACGGGGACCTAGAAATAAGCAAGATGCATTTGCTGGACAGTAGCTCATGGTTATGATCCCAAGGGGCCAGGGCATTCCGATGTTGTCTGCGTGGGAACCATGCTTATAACTTCTGCGATATCTTCTGTGGAAGGAGCGCTAAGGACAGGGGAGACCCTTAGGGGGTTCCCTTGAGGTCATGGGCCATGGGACAATGAAGAGGGGAGATCACAGGATTCCCTCACCTCCTGACAGCCCTTAAAAGGAGAAAACAAGCCTGAGGCACACCCAGGCTGACTCCAGCGTGTCCCGCTCCTGCTGTACCCTGGCTCCATGCCAGACGTGTGGTGGGTTGGCCCCATGCCCAGGGGTTCCAGGGCTCTGCTTTCTGCTGCCATCAGAAGAGACGCCTGTGCCCCCAGCTGTGAGCAGGAAGGGGTGCCAGCTGCAGGAGAGCTCTGCCTGACAGCAGGTCCCTGTCCTCTCTGCAGGTGATGTATTTCAGCTCCCTCTTCCCCTACGTGGTGCTGGCCTGCTTCCTGGTCCGAGGGCTGCTGCTACGAGGGGCTGTCGATGGCATCTTGCACATGTTCACCCCCAAGGTAAGGGCTTGGGGCGCCCACAGACCAGGGGACACCACAGGTTTGCTGGGCCTGGTTGGCCTCATGTGATTTAATGTGCTCTGGGCACCTGCCATGTAGCCAGTGTGATGTCAGGCCCTGGAGGGGTGCACAAGGAAGAGGGCATGGCCCTGTCCACCAGAATCCACGGAGAGGGCTGGCACCCGAGTTTGGGTGAAATTAGGGAAAGCTTCAGGGAAGAGGTGACACCTTAAATGAGCCTGAAAGAGCAGGTAGGATTTCAGCGAGGGGGACTGAGACATTGCACTCAAAAGGAACCGCATGTTCAGGGGTGTGGAAAAGCGCTGGGCATGTGTCATGTGGGAGGCCACAGTGGGAAGTCAGGCTGGGCTGGGGCGTGGGGACACTCCCCTCATTCATTCATTTGTGAAAGGTTTCTTTGTGTAGATCTGTGACATCGGGAACTAAGAAGATGCCCAAGAGAAGAAAGCTCCCCCCGGGAATCCCAGTTTGTACCCAACTCAAGGGCATGAGGTTCCTGTTACATTCAAAATAGCAGACCACACGGATAGGAATTTTAGGCTTAACAAACCCATGCCTCCTCACAGTCCTCCTGATAGCCCCGTGAGGGAGCTGAGCAGAACCTGTTTGTCTCACAGAGGGGGTGGCAGTGGCACAGGCATCCTGAAGACGTGGGCCCGGATTTCCAAAAGATGGTCTGTCTCCGTCCCATGGCCCTTCAGACCCCTAGGCACAACTGGCAGGAGTCAGTCCACTGAGGAACAAGAGAACTTCAAATGCAGATCACCATGCCCTTTGGCTTGCCCCAGGATACATCAGTAGTCCCCACTGATCAGGCTAGAAGTCCACCCCAAATGCCGGCTCATCAGCGAGTAGCCAGCGGGGCCTGGTGAGACTCCAGCCCCCAGGCACAGGGTCAGACTGGCCAGGCCAACTGGAGACCCTCAGTGTTCAGTAGTGCCATCTCACATGCACACCTGCGAGTACGCGCGTGCACGCACGCACACACACACACACACACACACTAATTCTCCCCCCCCCTTTTTTTTTTTAGTTTTTTACTATAAGGCATGTATGCTTGCAGAGAGAGACAGAGACAGAGACAGAGACATCATCCCCTGAGGGAATGGCCACAATCCCTTCTTCTCCATTCTCTTCTCTGGATTTTGGGCACACATGCGCTCACACTTGGTGTGATTTTCAAGCTGCTGGTCTAGGACTCAAACCACGACCTTGGCCATGTGGGATGCAGCTGCCTTAATCTTCACACCACCTGCTGGTCCCCTACACTGATTCTTACAGTTCGTACAGGATGACACAGGGAGAAAAGCTCAGTAGGGTGTCACTCCCTGCCAGCTCACCCATTCTGCCACTGCGCGTAGATTCCTGGTGTTTAGGGTGCGCAGTGGCCAGGACATGCGGCACTCCGCAGTCACCAGATAGCACAGACATTGGCCCTGGAAACAGCTGAGGTTGCTGTGTATCCCCTTCATGCAGCACTTGGCGAGTATCCCGAGGAAACCATGTGAGTCCTGAGCCACGTGGCGGGCCACAGGGATGTCATGAACATGCAATATCTGACCGAGAAGGAAAAAGGGCAAATCTGGTTTCTTTGGGAAGAGATGACCGTGACAAGAAAGGCAACCTTCTTATGAATTATTTCAACTCTGGCTCTAGATACAGTCTGAAGTGTTTGCTTGAGTCTTTCGGTTCTACTTTACTGAGCTTTATGAGGGAATTAGATGCTCTGGTGATGCTCACATATGTGAAGACTCACCAAGGTCTCCAGATGGGTCCCCTGACGGTGTTAAGAGTCTCTGGTATGTAATTCCAGGAACAAGTGGAACAGATTCCCACGATTGGCTACTGGTCTCCAACATACAGTACTGCTCCCCACTGGATTCTTAAATGCTGTCTTTTTAAAAATTTAATTATTATTATTTTTAAATTTGCTATAGGACATGTATGCTCACCAGAGAGAGACAGAGAGAGAAAGAGAAAGTGAGAAAGCAAGCTGCTAGGTC